TGTCAAAATGACGAATGAAGTGGACAAACAAATAGATAAACAAGCGTAATCCGAGCAGATTCGAGATGAATCGATAATATTTCACTCACCTTTCCCTAGACAGGCGATGTCCACGAGAGAAAACCTTCTTCACGTATCCCTGACAGGCACACACGAGTAGTCTTTCATCGACGAACGATTTAACTCCGAAATCGTTTTCGATTCCTCGCGCGCGCGAGACACTGCCTATTTACATCGGGCGACGTTCGAGTTCGACTGTTCGTTTATTACACACGGATCGATTAACCGTACATTTGCGAGCGACGGTCGTCGAAGGTCCGTTCAGGGTGCCGCGGGAAAGGCTCGACGCTGAACGAGAAGAGAGGAATCCACCGTCCTTTCTCACGTGGCGAGTGTCATGCAAGTATCTTCCGTGTTTCGTTGTTTGTTTTCAATTCTCGACGAGGTTCAAGCCTGGCGGGCTGAACTCATACCCCATACTCACGCCTCGCGTCCCAACCAGAGACTAAAGCGCCTAGTTGCAGTCCACCCGTATAAATGCTCCACCGCAGCGTGAATGTAGTCGTTGATTCGCTAGCGACTAGGAAGAGAAGGATTCTGCGCCGACTCGCCACGAAGCGGCGCCACCACCTGAACGAGTCAAATCGCTCGTTATCATCGGAGAACATTATTTTTTATTTATTAAAATAAATGTGTAATTATATGGAATAGTTGTTACACTAACAGTTCTTCTTGAAGAATATTTCCGACAGGCCGGCAGGCAAACAGGCACAAACACCGACGTTGAAATTTGTATAGCTGTGTTGGTGGTGCTCGCTGATACCATAGATATGTAGTTGTGATTCCTGCTAGCGCCGCCTGAAATGCTTTCACCCAATTAAAAACGTGGTTACAGTTACCCGCAGTTACTTTATCCTGAACATTCGTAAATTAAATTACAATATTTATGCATATTCGTTAGGCTTGGTATGCAATTGATAATGTCGTCTGACCCTTACTGGCGATGTGCAGTTAACAATTACATACTTCAAACAATTTAGTTACTGCATATGGAGACCCAAACCGGGTGGCCAGGACAAAAACCACATCCTAGCCACCCTTTATTAACCCCACGATGATTTCTGAAACATAGTATATATACATTAAAGCAGTATTTTTGTTATCAAATAGTCCATCCATAATTCCAGGGTGTCTAGGTATAAGTTCGGACATACGCAAGATGTCAATTTTACAACAAATTTCCAACAAAAAATTACTCTTGGACATTTTCTTTGTGTCGCCTTAGTCTCGAGAATTTTCACTTTTAATATATTTTCTGCGTTTTCTTGACACTCTTTAAATGGCCGTAACTCCACCAAATTACAGTGCAAACTTAAAACTAAGTATACCATTCGAAAGAGCGTTAAATTTCCCAACTTCCTGATATAAAACCAAAATTGATTACGTAGATTTAACAAGTGAAAAATTAGGTCAAACTGTACATTGCGAAAATTTTAATTTTGTTGTAAAATTGACATCTTGCGTATGTCCGAACTTACACGTAGACACCCTGTATATACTTTAAAGCAGTATTTTTATTGTCAAATAGTCCATTCCTAATTCGCCGCCATCACCTGTAACAGAACAAAAGTATATTATTCTCTATTCTTCATATACAAAAAAAAAAAAAACAAGTTCGTAGATGGTCTTCTTTTTCTGTTGTTGCCCTAACTAAAACTACAAAGTTACTCCAAAACGGACGCGATGTATCAGACGCAACACTAATCGCAAACGCGATCCATAGTCATTCGCAACACTACCCTGAAAGAAAACGCGAAAAATACTAATCAAAAGAAATCGCGAGGTGCATTATTATTCGAAACACTAATCTATTAAGTATAAAAAGAACAAATCGCGTGCACCAAGTAATACGAATCCTAAATTAAAAATCCAGCGCAACCATCTCAGGCTGCGGAGAATCATAGTGGCAGCTGCTTTTGGCTGCTTGGTGATTCCTCAAGTGATGGTGGTGTCAAATTTTGGGCTTTTCATATGACGAAATACTAATTCAAAACGCGTGAATTTACAACAAATCGGTCGCGATTTATTTATGCGCAACACTAATGGAACTCGCGGCTGGTCTTTGTACGCAACTCTACCATGGAAGAAAACGCGAAAAATTTTAATCAAAAGCTAAGTTGACTCTAAATACTACTTCCAAACGGACGCGATATTCATTATACGCAACACTAATTGCAATCGCGGTTGATCATTGTTACGCAACACTACCCTGAAATAAAACGCGAAAGACTCTAATATCAAAAGCAAAATTCACTCTAAATACTACTTCCATTCGAACGCGAGCAATGTTCATTTATACGCAACGCTAACAGCAAAATCGCGGCTGGTTCGCGTTCGCAACGCTACTCTGAAAGAAAACGCGAGAAAATTCAAAAGCAAGAATCCTATAGATCGAACACGATATTTCCATTACGCAACACTACTGCAAAACGCGATTTGCCCAAGTGGCACTGAATTCCCACGTTGGAGTACAAGACTCGGATAAACTAACTACGACTACAGGCGAGCAAAGTGACAACATAGTAATGACTCCCCATGTTCGAATTTCGAAGATGGAGAGCCATTCGTTGCTGCCCTTTCTTGCGACAATTTGTCAGGGCCTCTTCGGCATACAGCCTCTTCTTTCTTCGGACGCATTGTCCCATCTGAAACTTATAGATAGGGTCGAGGTTCAGTGCAATACGTGGACGTTCAACCCGGTGAACCACACGTCTAGAACCTCGAGGGAACGAGCGTTTCGAGGAACCCTACTGATCACGACCGCGACCGCGAAGCAACGACTCAAAGAGTCGAGACCCAAGGAATCGAGAGCAGATTCGAAAACAAACGGACAGAAGCTCCGTTCGCATCGACATTGCAACGATTTCTCGAATCCACCTACAGTAACAGATCCGTCAATCGTTGCGCGACCTACTCAAACTAAAGTGACGAGATCTGCCCTGGACCCTACCTACTGGGATTTAACATACACACCAGAAGTTAAGTTACCTACCTACCTACGCTATATTTAAACATGGCAAAACAATCACACCAACACAGGCGCTCAACGATCCTCAATCAAGGCTCTCGGGCGCGACCTAAACTAGGGAGATGTCCCGGGACACCTCCGACACCCGAAGATACCATACGCAACATTCACACTCTAAAGGTACGTACCAGTTTCCTGAAATCGACTGACAAAGGCTAGCGACCATTGCGTATATCTAAATATTATATATAAATATTTATATGTAATGCTTTAGTATACAGGTTCATCTCAGTGTATTATTTTCTTTGTGTTCCACAAGATTGGCAAGCTACTTTTTAAATATATATTTAATGAAATAGTATTACGATCATTGAATATGCAGAAGAATATTTTTAATGAAACAATCATGAGGTAATTCATGATAAATAAGAATTCGATATTATCGTTATAAAAGTCTGGTATTAATACCACTTTGCTTCTGGTTTCCAATAAATTTTTAACCGACGCACTTCCACATCCTAACCAAACACACACATGTGAAAAGTACGTCGGTGCACGATTCGCTAGCCAGAGTTAGTAGCCAGACGTATTATTATTATAAATTTTATAAACTAAGTCATCGTGCCCATTGCCTTCGCTCATCCAAGTAGCACCTGGGCACGTGAATGAGTTCAGACAACGAACATGGAAGGGTTAAACCTGAAAATCCTCAATAAAAAGAATAATTAGTAAATCTAATCGGGCTAACATTGTTTCCTTCTTTGTCATTTAATTTAGTAGTAAAAGTGACTCGACTTTTGATGTATAAAAATTTGATAATTGAAAACTGGGCCTGCATTAATACTGAGAAATTGAATTGTCAAGAAAAATGACTCTAATTAAAATTGAATTATTAAGAAAAATGACTAATCAAAATTGAATTATCAAAAAAAGTTACTCTAACCAAAATTAAATATAAAGATATATATTGATCTACTTTCAGGTGATTCCATTTGTCAAAGTATATTTTTTAAGGAACGTACAAAAGTGCTCAAAATGTGTTTACTTTGACTCAGAAATCGACCTATCGCGGAGTATCCTTCTTGTACATACATAAAAACTTCAACGGAATAAATGTATAATTAAAAGAACGAAAATATAAGTATATTTCATACATTTATATATTTAATTATATTATATATATATATATATTATTGTATTTTTAAAAATTATATTTGAAGTCATAAATTGAAATATATAGAAATAATCTACTGTATCTCTATACATCATGATTTTATAAATATCTATATGAATATACTCTCAACAATGAGTATTTGTATCAAAAAATATTTATTGCAAAATAGAATATTATTGTATCGTTTTATTAATAGAAAATGCGAAGTACAAGAAGACCCTATCCTGCACTAACAATAAGAAATAAAACAGATGATGTTACTACTCATGAATATGCTATGCAAATTCCATAATGCAATGCATACCCATGGTCACTATACTCGCCAAAGACCACGTATACAACAGTCACCCGTGTCGATTCGGACCTTTCGTCCTACGACATGATTGGGGACAAGAGGAACACAAATGCTTGCGACTTACCAACCGTTGTCTTGATACAGGGCTATGTAGTGGCTCTGCTGTCGCTGATCATCGGTGTAGCTCTGCTGTCGCTGATCATCGGAGCAGCTCTGTATTATCCACGTCGAAATCGCAGTACCTCTGCTTTATCTGGGTCGAATTTCAAATTTCTTTTGTTTCGTGATGTAAACAATCTGCAACAAAAGTTACATGAATTAATAACATGTTTCAAAAATTGCAGTAGTTACAATATTAAAACATTACAATTGCAAAATCATAAATTTTACGTTTGTACAAAAAAGATACGCGAATTTTAAAAAAATGTTTTACTTTGATCTGTTATGTTTCTAACATATTTAAAGTACATTATAAAAATGTGTAACTTCATAAATATTTTAAGTTTCTAAAAGGTGTAGTGTAATGAAGTTAATGTGTATAAACTCACAAAATTTATTTATTTAGTTTTTAATGAATGTAAGAAG